GTATAAATGAACCCTGGACTGGAATTCATATTTGTAATCATAAATCTTTTTTTTTTTTTTTTTTTTTTTTTAGAACTCCAATTCATTCTAATAACAAACTTCAATTATTCTGTGGACTTTAAATAAATTACTTGTTAACTACCAGTTCAATTAATTACAGAATGTATGCAATGAACACTTGGGGTGTAATCATCCAGGTCTAATACATACTTAGAAGTATGTACTCTACTTTCTAACAGTTTTTAATTAAATAAAACATTTCATTCTACTTGAACATTTTTAAGAAGCCTTTGTTGACTTAAAGTAATATTATTATTACTTGCCTCAGTGGACAAACGGAACAAAATTATGTTCATACAGCCTCACTTATGACTGCTTTTAATCTCTGTGCTAAATCTGAACCTGGTGTCATTTGGTTTGCTGCAGAAGCTACTACCTACCACTTCCCCAAAGTTACATGAATGTTTTTCTTTTGTAATATCTTTTTACCATTGATGCCTGAAAGTAAAGAGGGTCCAAAAATGTCCACACTGGGATTTTGTGTGATAGAATACATTGGGATGATGCTTGATCAGTGATCTGTGCATTTATGAGTTCATTTTTGTACAATTACATCCTCCTGAATCTCTTCATAAAATAATGTTCTTAGTAAGAGTTCTTATTTTTTACAAAACTTTATTTTCAAAAAGAATACTTTGCAATAAAATTACACTTATGGATGAACCTCATAGTTAAGTAATCTTGAAGTACTGCACCAAGAGCACATAACAGCAAAATGATGGAACTTGTCATCTTTCCCAAGACTTTCTCACACATATAAGACAATATAGATGAAAGGTGCAAAGCCACATTCATTATCACCATTACAAAAAAACAGCATATTACTATCTTGAGCCATCTAAACAAACAGGAAAAGGTGGGTGGGAGAGAGCAACACAATTTGCATAGCCCGTGTTCCTTAATTTAGAAGACCATTTCGATTCATACATCTTCTGTTCCTGGCACACAAAGATGGATGTAAGACAAGGAAATCTTCAAAGGCATTTCCAAATGGCTCAAAAAGTTCCTTGCTCTGAGTAATTCTTTGTTTTTCGTAAAGATTTGTTGCTAACAAATAGACTGCTAACCACTGTTCTTAGCAGAATAACCACTACCAGTAAACACAGCAATCAATGACATTGTGAAGCCTAGCAAAGGAAAAACGAGCCCCGTGCTGACTGATGGAGATCACACACACTCTGTCTCCCTACATTTCCACCCACTTTTCACACACTACAAGGAACATGGGAACAGATTTTCTTTTGCTTGGACATCTTTCCAGTAATTCCTTCAAATGTGACCCACCACTGGGGTCACCTCCTCCACACCTGTGCTGCTGACCAGTATGCCAGGCACATCACCTCACCTGCAGCATTCCCAAGGAGAGAGGACTGTTGAAACAGGAGGGCTTAAGCTGAGCTCTGTGGAACACCTGGCCAGTGTCTGGAACCAGCTGTGGAGAGCTGTGATGGTTTTAGGATGCTTGTACTGAATGAATTGAACAAAGTTAATTCTATTCATTCTGCCACAGTTTTGGTGCTAGTCAAGCAGCAGAACTTGCCGAGATCATTCCTTCCCACCTGGATTCTTGGAGGATCTCATGCCCAGGCCTACAGATAACCTTGTGTCCATCCCAAACCATTAAAGAATAACTGGTCTCTCAATAAATACGTCAGAAAAAGAAATACCTCCTCTAGTCAAAAACTTTGCATTTTTTCCCATAGGCAATAAACTCACTGTTCTGAAAAAGGGGGAAAGGCATGCTGACAGACCAAAAAGGATCTCTGTGCTTCCTGGGGACCTATTTGGAACAAAGATGCCGAGTTCATTGTTTTTCCTAGGGATGGGCTGTGAAACAGGCAGCAGCCATGCAGCTGGTGGAGCCTGAGCTGGAGCCATCCTGCACCACAGTTGCGTCTTCCCTTCCAAGTGCCAAGTGCCCAGGGAAGGGTGGGATTGAAGGAAGCAGTGATGAGGACAGAAGTGAGAGGTGCCAGAAAATAATGGCTTGTCTTCCAATACAATAGCTTAATCATTTCTACAGAAAGGGCATTTCTTCCAGGATATCATTCTAATATAAAATTTCCTATCAGATAACCCTAGCAGATGTCCTGAATTGGGTTTTCCTGACTGCTTTGTGTCAGCGTGGGAGGGAACACATAGAAACTCACTTCCAGGGGTGATGTGGGAGAAACAAGTCACAGGGAGTTACAGTTTACATTTGGAGTTGGAAAG